GAGGGGGGTTATTTAGGTGGAAATTTACTGTGAATGTTTCGTGGGGTAGTGATACTAAACATAGTTTGGTTGTAGGATGGATTCTTCGGGGACCAAATTTCTTCCTCCTGCTGATGGGTGGAAGGACAAAACATTTATTGTTATTTATCCACAACGAAGTTCAAGTAAGTTCGTTTCTGTTTTGTAGTAATATTCCGTAAGCACAGATTTGTTTCTCCAACTTTATTAGATTTAAGGGGGTCTTGAAATATTGGCTTCATAAGAAATTTGACCTGAACTTTTTTTTTGACATTATCACTGAGGTTTGCTAAATGTTGAAGCAGTTGCGATTTACACTCTATTTTCGAAATTTGGCTGACCATGTTTGGACTTCGGTTTTGCGTATATCCGGTGTGTGATTTGAAGTCTAGGATTTGGTAGTATACTGGAAATGTTTCTCTTTTGAAATTTGACTTGGTATCTTCACACTTGCTAAATTATGAGATGCAGTTGATCGTAATTTTGTGCTGTGTGTATTGTGTATTAATTACATATTAGATTGAACGACTCCTATTTAGAAATTTAAATCTTATAAATTTTAAAGAAAAAACTTATTATTTGGCAGGTTTAATTAAAATTTTTGGAGATCAGTAGTAGTACAATGTGCTTGAGCTGGACAATTTTTGACTCATCTGGTGTGGTAGTGATATTGGTGTAAATATGCGTGTTTGTTGTGAGTAGCATAAATGCGTGTGCAGGTGATCAGAATACGAAACGGAAGAAGATGATGGATGAGTGTGAAAAGGATAGCGATTCGGAAGATGTATCGGGGGGACCTGGGGGTCAACTTACTGCCAAGCAAAAACGCATCGAGGATCCAAGTGAAAAGAACTGCACCGATTTGATTGTGCTTGGTATACCTTATACAACCTCGAGCGAAACATGCAAAGCCTATTTCGAACTTTTTGGTGATGTCGTCATGTTTGATGTAAGCGTCGTTCTCTTTAGCTTTCATGGCATCTGGTATTTTTGGTAAACTAAAATTACAATCTCTTTTTGCTTTTAAATTTTGTGAGTCGAAGAAATTTCAAAGGAAGTTTAGTGAGAATGGTTTTGGAAGACTAAGTTTTAAATTCGGTATGTTGTTCTTCATGCGAGAGCGTTTTTGGGTTAGTATGTTAAGAGATTAGAGATATTTAACTTTTAATGATTGGTTTTGTGCAAGTGTTGTTGAAGAGTAGCGAGAAAGAGTAAATTTTATGTGATTCTTGCTTTTTTTCCGAGTATGTACGGAGAGCTTTCCATTAAGGGTTTCTTACATGTTCTGTTTTCGCAACATATTCTTTTGATTCGGAATTGTATACTCGTTTCTAAAAGCTTTGGTTAATGATAATTTGATTAGCTACTTCTTGCCTGTATTTTTTGGTTTGTCTTGCAGTTGTAACTTTCATGTTTTTAGTTAAAGAAGGATGCAAGCGGTAACTCGAAAGGTTTTGGTTTTGTTCGCATGGCTGATTATAATGCTCAGATACGTGTTTTAGCGAAACAAACGCATGAAATAGATGGTCGTAGGTGTCAAGTGAAAATTCCGTTGTCGAAGGTTTAATTTTTCTTTTTTTTTGGATGTTATTAACTGCACTTGTTTGATGAAGTAAATTTTCTCTTTTAAGGGTGAGTCTGCCCAAGCTACAGTTTCGCGAATCTTTGTTGGTCGTTTGCCAGAAAAATTCACTGTGGAAGATTTGCGCAATTTTTTCAACGAGGAAGCAGCCAAGATTGATCCAGAAGCTTGTGTGAGTTTCGTGGCATAGTTTTTTTTTTTTTCGAATAACAGAAGTAACTCTTAGTTATCAACTTAAACCTAGTTTTATGTCGTATTAGTGTTGCCGAGGTAACTTATTGTCATTAATTGTAAGTAAGAATTTCACAGCTCAGAACAAAAGTGTGAATTTTGTACATTTGTTTCTCAGTTACAGGTTACTGATGTTTTTATCCCACGACCATTTCGATCTTTCGCATTCGTTAACTTCTCGTCTTCGCTTGTCGCAAGGACAATAATCAAGTTTGTCTCCTCTACATGATTTTGCGATTTCGTTCTTGGTTTTTAAACTGTTTATTCTTGAAGGCTTGGCGATGTGGTCCTAGACGGTTGTTCTTTGGCTGTAAGCGCTGCCGCTCCAAGAGAGGCTCCAGATTTCTCACCTCGTTCTCAAAAATCAGTTTACGGTATGGGATCACATGGAGGTCCGAATTTTACGCATAAAGCTGCATCGCAGCGATGCGATGCTTACTCTTTAGACCGATCTCAGGTTCCAAATTTTTTTATTCGAGAACAATTTTGGTTTCTTGAGTGTTTATACTGATATTGCTGTTACTTAAATTATTTTTCATAAAAGATTTCAGGCAGGTTACTATGATGGTTATAGCGGGAGTCACTGGGACTCTCCAAGGGGGGGTGGCTTTAGAAATGCTGAAAAACGGTCTTATTCACCTGCTTATGGTGCCTCACGTTATGGTGGTCTATCTCGTCCTGGAACAAGTCAAGCACTGGCCTCTGGTTTAGATGCTTTGAATTTGAACAAGATGAATGTAAAGCCTGACGTTGTAGATGCTGCTTGGCAGGCTTTTTGGAGTACGTTAAATAATCAAGTGGGTCCAAATGGTCAAAATAATTCTAAGTGGTGATATGGTTTATTTTGAAAAATCCATCTTTTTATTGTTTTTATGTGTTTTGAACCTTTATAATCTAGTTGTACAGTTCCCGTTGCGCGTTCTTCGAAACATTGATTACATAATTTGTTTATTTCGTGACATCATAGTTTGTTGGTCTGTTCAGTTACATACCTCAGTTCGAAGACTATAGTTAGGCGGGCATATTTTGTTAGTGTATTTCTGTGCTAGGGGAGGGGCAAAGCTTGGGTGGGGATACAAAAGATGTTCTCTTTTAATGTCCTTTTTCACAATTTTTTTGATTTAGACTACTTTATAGAGGCAGCTTGGTTTGTTCTTTTTTAACCATTTTCAATAACCTTTTATATTTTGCTCGTAAATCTGACATGAAAGAATGTTCGATTTCAAGGTGGACTGTGCCTACTAGTTGGTCTGAAATGTGTCAACTTCTTTAGGTCGAGGTAGAGTTATTTGTAACCATGTTGTTTGGTTTCTCGCGGTATTTTGTAAATTAGCTTTTTTGGACTTGGTGTTAAAATTAGCAAATTAATTTTTTTTTTTCTCTTGCATTCTGTCAGATTATTGGCTCTTTACTTTCCACATTAAAGCGTTGTTGCTCTGTTTTTTTTTTCTTTTCTCTTTTATTTATTTTTGTCTACGCATCCTGGATATTTTTCTGTCTGCTGTTAACGTTTTATTAACGTTTTACAAGTAAATTATAGTTTTACTTATTCAGATGGGATTAAACATTTGTGGTGTGACGGCTTCCATACTTTGTAGTGCCACACTTGTCAAATTTTAAAAATTTCTAATTTTTAAGGTTTTTCACTGCCGCAGTTTGGGACGTCGAACGTGGTGGTGCATTTTTCATGCTAAATTGTATGAGCGTTCTTGAAGGGGCAATTTTTCGTTTGAAGAGTAAAGAAACTTTTCGTATAAATTTATTTTATTGATCCTCAAAAACACTTGAATGCGCAGTTACAGGTACATCCGCAACTTGAACTTGAGTAATGCTTGTGTACAATCCGCACTGGGTAACGGTAATTTGTGCATTGATGAATACCACACTTGCAGTCGCAGTCCCGACATCCTAAAAGTATAAATTAAGTTCATTTGACTCGTTTTAATATGGGTGGCTGTCTTACGGTCATTAACTTCTTCGTAGAGTTGTTGTCAACCATTATTGGATATGACTGTTAAACTTTTTACCTAGTCGTTTTGCGGTCGCGTACTGCGAGTGAAATGAGCAAATTTCTGCTTTCCAAATGAGGTCGAAGAGTACGTTATTTTCATTGTACTGGTGCCAGCATTGAATCCCTCGATAAACAAGGTCTTGAGCTATTGAATGATCGAACTTTGACAGTGCGATGTTGATTCGGTCTCTGATGCATGACATTTCATCTATCTTGACGTTAGTCGAAGAGCAGCATATGGGCTCTAACCTGAAAAAGGTTTTTGGGAGTTTTTTTCACTGAGTTGTGTGGTCAATCATTGCCGCTTTCAGAAATGATTGCCAACAGTTAGTGATGATGATGAAAATATCATTGTTCTTTCAAAGCCTTACAGAATTGCTTCAGTAGTATTCTCTATAACGTAGGCGTGAAAACCGCCAATCCAGCTGTTGCCACTGCAACCTTCGGTAATACCGGAGCATTGTGGGACACTCTGTAGTCTTTCGCAGGTTACCTGTAAATGAAGAAGCAGTTTTTAAGAGATTATGGTAATATTATATTTTGAATATTATATTGAAGTAATGGTTCACTTAGGCACGGTGAAATACTAATAGGGAAAAGGTTTAGTATTACTGTGATGAGCTGCGGTATTTGAAGAGTTCTTTGTAAAGCTGTAGTCGGTGACTTACTAGCTCAGGACTCGGTTCGATTAGTTCACATTCGACAGTCAAAGCACCAATGACATTGTTGATTGATGGAGATCGACGAAACGAAGCAAGCCTGTAGCCTGGATTACACTCTAAGGAATAATCAATATCGTAACCAGATGTTTGGCTGTCAAAGACGACTAAAATTGTAGCAAAATGTAGAAGGAAGGCAAAAGTATCCATTTGGAATATGGTCAATGCAATTTTGTAGCTTGGCGTCTCATTAGTTTCATGTACCCATCAAACCTGTTTGACACAGTTTCAAATGGAAGCAAGAAGAGTAGATGAAATTGTTGTTGTCACAAATCTCAGCGTTTTGTCGTTTTTAATGTTTATCTTCTGCATTGCTGCCCTAGAAAATGAAACAATTGCAGAGGTTGTTTAATGAACTGAAGAAGATCTAACACAATTGTTACTTTTTTGTTGTTGGTACACCAAATTTGTTCACTTAACACTTAGATTATCCAAAAATTAATGCTACACTGAGTTGCTGTGATTTAAATTTTTACCTGTTTTTTTCTTATAGTTTTTAAAAGTATTTTATGCACGAATTTTGCGCTCAGCAAATGTTTCAGTTTCACTGGTTCATTTACCTTTTCAGATGTCATATAAATTTTTTAAATTTCACCCTTCCTCACCCGCTAAAAAATGCATTGTCTTATCAAACGGTTAATGCACAAAAGATATGTTACACTTATTATTTCTCCTTTGTTTCCATTTTTATATTTTATGACGATATTGATGTTTGTATGGGGCAAAAAAAAAAAATCCCAAATGACGAAATGTAAAAAGTTCACTATTCATTTTGCAGTGCCAGTGGTATTACTGGATGAAATTAAATAATAGCTGTTTAGATGAAGAAAAATATTTTTGCGATTGAACGTTTGAACGTTTTTAGTGTGGTCTCCATTTGCCAACGATATATAAATCTAAAATCTTATCTAAAAATCAGGAAACTAAGTTATTCACATCTGAGATGAAAAGACAGTGTATATGAACTGTAACACTACAGCTTTCCATCTATTAACATAAACAGCCCAAATGATTGTTTATTAAGCTGTATTCAGTTTTTGCTGATACTTACCTCCAAGTGTACAAATCTGTTGTTGCACCAAATTTTGGCAGCACCCAGATTCAGAATCATAAGAAATGGTCGTTACAAATCGATTGGCACTAACCGGACACAGAACAGTTTCGTCGTTCTGAGTTGCACAAAATTTTTAAAACTTTCATACGGAAGAATTTTAAAAGAATTTAAATTTAGAACAACGTTGACACTGCAACCATTTGTTGAATGCACTTCGCCAGGTCTTCTGTCTATTTTCATTCCTGATCAAACAGACGTTGACCAAATTTGTCGCTATGATATTCTGACGAAGTAACTGCCACTGTTAAAATACCAACGATAAAACCGTTAGCCAGTGAATGACCACGGTAAATGGCACCAATTAATCAATGAACTTTGACTGCTTAATTATAGTAAAATTTCTCGGCTTTTTTATAACAAAAAACAATTCTTTTTTTTTTTTATAACTGAAGAAATACTGAAAATTTATATGTATTTGAGTTTCATTCATTTCTGTAGTTGAGGAGCACAATTAACGCAGACGTTCACTTTACAGTTTCAAAACTTTTAATGTTTTGTTTAGCTTCTTCGATAGATGTCAATATTGTTCCCGCTACATATCTTTACTGCTTCCTTTCAAACTGCTTTGCACCCTAATGAATTGTTATTTCAACTTCAGAGGTATATGTTGGTGATTCTACCGCCTATTTTTCAAAAAAAATGTAAAGTTTTGGAATTTTAATCATTCTCCACTCTGTTCTCTGTGGTACCAAAGACGCCAGTATGACCGACTGTGGGCAACTGTTCTGAACGGTTTCTTCAAAATGTGAAGGACGGCAAATGCTGCTGCTGCTAATTGAAGATCAGTCTAGAAGGCAAAAAAAAAAGCACTTTTTAAAACCAGAAATTTCATTTTTGTTTTGAAAATGCTTCTGTTTCCTTGGAGGTTCAATACAACGTAATAAATGTACAAATTGCCGTCATCATTATTCATTTGGCTGCCACAGCAAATTCTTTATGTGCACTAAAAAATAAAAATTGGAAACTTAAGTCAACGCCAACAGATAAAATTTTTTATGTTGCCAACAGTGATATTACAAATTGCTTCACAATAAAGAACAAATTTATGTACAGAAAAAAAAAAACATTTCTGTAGATAAAAAAAGAAAACTGTTGCTTTAATCAGCGATAAACATCTGAAGATTTCCCAGAGATTATTTTTTGAAAAAGTTTTGGAGGGCATCGACCAGCAGAAAAAAAAAAAAATGGAGTTGAGAAGATGTTTTTCAGCAATATCGGAGCTTTCTTAGTTACTATTCTTTAATCTTTTGAAACTCCTAGCAGATCTTTAGTTCCAAAAAAAAAAAAAATACTGAAAACTTATTTTTTTAATATTCTTGACACTACGACCATTTTATATACGGCATTGATGATTGATTAGCATATAAGTTGAAAGCAAATGTTGCTGTCTTGACACTTTTCTTTCCACATAAAATAACCTCTGTGTAAGTCAACGATAAAGTAACGAACACAAGGCACAAAACAGCATTACAACGATCAGCCACAAAAAAAGGAACAAAAAACTAGCAAATGCTAGGTCTATAACAAAGATGACAAAACTCACCAATAGTGCCATATTTGTCACCACTTATGTTTACTTCTTACAGTTCAATTTTGTTGTTTTTCTAAATTCTGCAAAAATATGGGAAAAAAAAAGAATTATTGAGTAAGTTGAAAAAAACCCGTCACTGAACAAAAATGTAGTTCAAATAGTTAAACAACAGTATCAGGTGAATAAAAATTAATTTGTTTTATTAGCTGTTCTCCTCTGCCCATTTCTTAGGACATAAATGTCGGGGATAGGATGTTTGCCATTAAAACAGATTCTGTTAATACAGCTGGAGATAAAACGCTAGGCGATAGTATCGGACCACCCAAAGTAGCTGGTGAAAGAATGTCCGGTGAAAGTACGTAAGGACTGAGAATAATTGGGCTCAACACATACGGATTGATAATGTTTGGCGACAGAACATATGGTGTAAGAATAAATGGTGCCATTACTAAAGGCGAAAGAATATATGGCGTTAACAAATACGGCGATAAGATGAAGGGATTTCCAACACCTGGACTTAATATAAACGGTCCTAAAAGTGCAGGATTTAGAATAAGTGGGCTGAAGATACTTGGAGATAGCACTACAGGACCAAGAACAGAATGGCCAGTTACTGGAGCAAACATATAGGGTGCTAAAATAATCGGATTTAACACCGAAATTTGTCGCTTCTGTCGATGTTGTCCTACCTAAATATAAAATAAAAAAGTGAAAACAGGTGTATTACTTAGACAGTAGCATTAAGCAAAACAATTTTTAGCTAACACTGTTAGTAGTGATAAGTTTAATAAAATTACTTCAGTTGTATTCTTAGCAATCGCTTCAATTCTTTCCCACAGTGCATCATACTTTTGTTGAGCAGTCATATTTCCATATTCTTCAAGATCAAATCCAACCTGTTGCGGATGTTTAACTTCTAAAAACAGTTTTTTATTTATGAAAAGCTATAATAAATGGAATGTTTTGACTTGTAAAAAAATTTTTGATTTGCTAGATACAAATTTTTCTAACACCAACTTCACTGTTTATTTGAAAAGCTTGTGAAGTATATTTTGGTAGCAAAAAGATAACTGTAACAAGTGCAGTTTCGTGCAATCTAGTTAAATCGTTACACTGAGAAAACGAAACGTCAGTAACGTTACTAACTATGTCCGTCTAATAAGTCCTTTATCTGTTGTTTTTCTAAGAAAGTAAATCCTTTCATATCGATATCGTTTTTCTGTTCTTTGTTAAATGACTTGCTCAACTTTTTGAATAAACTGTCGAGCCAACGTGTCGTCTAAAATTATGATTACAGGCATCAGATGAGTTTCAGAGCAAAAGTTTTAAATTAGCAGCTGTATCGGTAGCAATTCATACAGGTTTTTCAAAGATATTACACAAGCAGGTGCCGATAAGTACTTGTATCACAAGAAAAGTACAAAGTATCTCAGTTACAATCGGCTACTGTTTGAGTTAAAATTTATTTACCTCAAAAATTTCACCACCCATTCCAAAAAAGTTGATTTTTTTAATAACTTCAAGCATCATGTCAACTGTTTTACCAGCTCCAGACAAACTCATTATAAGTTCCATAAGTGTGTCTCGATCCTGTTCCTTCAAACCAGATTTCTCCAAGATCTGTAATTTGGCCGCTTACAAAAGATTTTTGCAGATGATCTATCTTAGCCACTGACTTTTCTTTAATATGCTATTGTGAATGATTTATATTCGTTTTTTAGTTTGAATGCTTTTTTTTCTGACAAAACTGTGGTTTACAGATGTTAAAAATGCCGTCTCAAGCAAAACCAAGTCAACCTTAGGTATCGAAGCAATATTGTCTGAACTGTCATCGCTGTAGAACGATAAAAATGATGGTGATAAAAGCCGACTTTTTGCTGGGACCTAAAGTTTTGATGTCTAAATTCCCAACTTTATAACCAAGTTACTGCAGCTCATCAATTTCGTTTATGGACTGTAATCTTAGAAATCATTTAAAAAATATTAAGAATGCTAAAAATTACTTTTTCCGGCATAAGTGGTGCAAAACGTGGACTCAGAAACTTAAAGCTTGTATCTTCCGGTCGATTTTTGTGTCCGTTCAGAGCATCCACTAGTCGGCTTGTCATCGTCAGGAAATCAGGGAAAGGTTTCTGAAATTTTCGAATTCAGTTACCTTCATAGAACATTTACTTAATTGGTGATACTACCTCACTCCGTTTTGACCTCGAGGGTTTCTTCCTGTTCAGGACGATATCATGAAGTCGAAATTCATAAATTTTGGCACCTGGAAGCTTCTTTTTGTCCTCCATAACTTGTCCTAATTTCAGAAGCTCCTTGTACGACTTCAAACCTCCCTTTTCAGGATTCATACCATTGGCAAACGACCAGATCAAGTCGGCTATCTAGAGTAGAAAAGTGAGGCGTTTTTGATTCTAAAATCCCTGTTATAAAAAGTGGTACTACTGCCGGAAGACGTTTTCATATTCACCAGATAGCCAATAAAGTGCTTCTAAAGCTGGTTCTTACTTTCAAATTGCTTGTGTTAAAGATGATAGATGATAATGTCATTAAAATGAGATACAGATGGTAAATCCAGCGTTATTAAAAATAGCAATGACAACAATTACTGCAAAGAGAATTGACTAAAAGTCGAAGAAGTTCTTTTTAATTTTTTATTATAAAAATTATGTAAAATAAGTTTTTGGCGGAGAAGGTCAGAAAAAATTACTTGGAAGAAAAACCAAGAAAAGATGTTTCACAACTTTTTAAGTCAAAAATATTAGTCTAATTTTAATTTTTGCTCGAAAGATAAGATACAGGTACACTCACGGCAATATCTGCCTACCATTATTTACAATGCAGGAAGCTTTTATAAGTTTTATTCAGCAATCTGTAACAGAGCTTCCACAGAGACTTATTTCTGATATCAACAGAAATAACTTTTTTACTAGAATATAGATTTTTTCGCTTATAATATAAGTTTTGTAAGACAGTGTGGACAAAGCGGAACTTGGTCATTTAAAACTGATACAAGTTGGCGGTGTTTGTCAATTCATCATTAAACTAAACCGACCAGTGATTAAATGAAACTGTTAGAAAACCGATTTCACATCAGTTATAAAATAAGTCAACTTGTTATGGTTGGAAAAATTTTTGCAGTTACGTGGAACACTAAAAGCAGCTCTCCTTGACTTTTAAAATATTTAAAAAAGTGCGAAACAGAAAACTACTGCTTAACATTAGATGTTTCCTAACAAACCGACAACAGTTCTGTGGTTATAACAATCATTCACTATCATGCAGCTAAAGTTGGAAACTCATTGTAATTTATTACAGCTTAAAAAATATAAATTTCTCTTTTTCTTTTCTGATGGTCAAAAATTAGCAATAAAGTTCACATACATTGATGATTATAGGAAAAACTATATTTTTTACCATTTTTACTGGTGTTTGACCTTTTGTTGGTTCGCTCAAAGATTTCATTCTTTGCATTGATACAATAACCTGAAAAAAAAAGTTTACTTTTTAGGTCCTTCAAATAATTAGCAGAAGAAAAATCCAAAATATACCCGTCTAGACTTGCTTGCATTTCTTGTGTCGTCTAGATATCGTTTTGGACGGTATTTGAACGGCAGAAGATCCTTGATAAGTTGTGAAACAGGTGTTGGCTCCGCACTTGACAGAGAAGCAAGGGAATCTGGCGGAGTGGTTTCTGAGTCATCCTTCAATTTGGCTTCCCAGTTGCTTTGCGAAAGCAATGCGAGTTTTTGTTTTGCTTTTTCCAAAGAGTCTTTCTTTTTTTTGCGAATCTGTCTCCCCACACCAGAGACTTCTTGTTCGATAAAGAGATAGTCGTTTGAGCTTAGCGTGCTAGATTCCCTCTGAATTTCTTTAATTGCTTCTCTGAAAAGTTGCTTTTCAAGTGTGCTTTTAATTCTAGAAAGTGAATTATGAGTGATAGGTTGGTGCTCTAGATTGATCTCCGGCAGTGGTGTTGTTGTGGCAGGTTCGTAACTTTTAGTGACTTCCTCTTCGCTGCTTTCGGGTATAGTAAACTTTTTTTCTATTTCCGTGAGGTCGCTTGTCCTAAAGAAAACTATTTATAATTTCTGGTGCTCTTCTAGCATTGATTGAGCTGAGTTTCCAGAATTATATATAAAGGACTGTGTGGAATAAACAAAGTGGAACAGTTTTTCTAGAAAGTTTTCAACCAAAACACCATTTTACTCTTTCAAAAAATTATATTTAGCTTAAGAAAGATTTACTTTTCTTGGAGAAAAGCAACATCAGTTTCATCAAAGCCGATATTTTTAAGTCGAGCTAGCTTGCGAGCTTGGATGAGACATCGTGCTCCATGAACTAACTCTCTTTCGTCTTCGATCTTATCCAAACAGCGACGTAATATCTTTTGCTCTTCTGAAATATCGCGATCGACAACTGTTACAGATGAAATTATTTGATATCAAGTTTTACACTTCAATCTGCAGTTAAAAATTTATATAGTTGATACAATTAGGCAATAGTATAATGAATTCTCATGCAGTTTTTGGTATTCATATTTATGCTTAGCAATTATTTTTCGTAAACTCACCTAATCTTTTAAGGCTTGTTATTTGCATTGGAATTATATGTCTGTGCTATAGCATTTCTGTAAGAGGTCAAAAAACTAGAACAGTTGGTATTGTAAAAGAAGATGAAAGTTAGATAAAGTTACAGTAGACAGCAAAGCTGTTTTGTGAATGTGAAGAAAAAATTTTTTTTT